TGGATGCCAAAGCCTTTCCAGCTGATGTTGGTTGAGAGAATGCCAATTGAGAGTGTTCAAGGACAAATCCCATGCAGAAACTTTTCCTGTGAGAGAGAAAGTGTAAGAAAACAGCAAAATGTTAATCAAACAAATACCAAGAAAAGCAAGCAATTCAATGTCAATTGTCCAGCAAAAGGAACTTACATTTCTGTTTAAGAAACTTGGACAAGTTATTGTGCTAAAATCTACTTAAAGTTAGCTGACATGATATGGCTTGCAGCTTGGGATCCAAACCACAACATTACCATATCATACATTTGGTTTCCATTTGATGAGAATATAAAGAAACTCCCCACCTAAAGAAAAGCCAGAGGAAATAATACCAAGGAGTTGAAGTTACCTCAGGGCATCCAGTAACTGGGTGGCTATGTGTTTTCTTCTGTTAGCTTGAGTGACCCAAATGGCTCTGATGCCGCAGACAGCAGGCACTGCTTCCTCTTCACAAAATATAGCACCGTTGAGATTCTCGTTCAAAGCTTCAGGAACAGAAGGGGCTTTTCTCATGACTTCCCTTTGAAATCTGATATCCCCAAATTGGAGAGTGGTTAGTTTTGGTTCATTTGTAGTAGTACCATCAGAACTTCCATTAACTGCACATGAGAGGACTTTGTGTGCTTCTTTTATTGGCTCTGCAACTAGACACCCAACAATCCTTTGGGACAAAATGAACAGATACACCTGCAAACATAAGGGTGAGATACCACACCGAAAATGGAGCTAATAGCTGAATCATACCATAGAGAGAGAGAGAGAGAGAAAAAGAGATACGAAAGCATTATTGTACTCCTAAATTGTCAGAAGACAGATGGATTTATTACAAAACAAAATTTGAAAAATAAATCCAAAGCATTCAACATTGTCCTGGTCCGGGAAAACATAATCATAAAGACTATAGCCATTTGTACTATTGTGGAATTACAAGGCGCCACTGTGTTCGTAAAAGTCCTATGGCCAAGTCTTGAATAGATGGAAGTGTGAAAAGAACCAACATAATGCAAAAACAAATAGTAGTTCAAGAATTTTCTAGACATTTGATGCAGCAACGATTCTGGTAGCGTTTTTCTGATTCATTAAGTAAAAGACTAAGAGTTATTGTCAGTCACCTTACACAACTTGTGCATAATCCATCCACTTCCAAGTTCACTCTCCATCATCTTCACAACTTCCCCAACCTGCCAGTACAAAACAGTAGCTTAGTTA